AATAATAATACAAAGAAAGTTAATTAACGGTAAAGGTTTAAAGGTTACGTAGTCGATACTTAACTAACGTAGCACGTAAAGTAACTTACTACACACACACACACACACACACACGTGTGTGTGTGTGTGTGTGTGTGTGTGTACCTCAATAGTTAAAGGCACGTTAACGAATTACATTTCTTAATTATTATTATTTGTTAGGTTTATACTACCCTGCTTATGCTTTTAACATTTTTATTTAAGTCACGATTGTCAAGCCTATGAAAGAAACATTCACAGTAATCCATACATATTTTTGGTTGATGTTAATCCATTGGAAGGTAACTATGCTTCAGTTTTTAGGTTTTGTTCTGGCGCAGGAATGGAAAAACGCAATCTGTTTCTGCCAAGGTATTCAGTCCTGCTGTCGATAAAAGCCTATATTTTATTATTCTGCAATAAAAACCAAAACCTATCTTATGCTATTTTGTTGCATAAAAAATCTAAGCTACCTTATTTCAGGGGAAAAAGTTGGATTAACATTTATTGAAAAGTTTGGAGTAATTTCATTAAACAAATGTACATTAATTCCTTCTCAATTAGGTTTACTTTTTAACAAGCAGCCTGCCTTGACAGAAGCAGCTAAGAATCTAAATTTCTGGGTTTGTTTTGAATTTCGCGCAAAGCTACACGAGGAATATCTACGCTAGCCGTCCCTAATATAGTATAGAGGGAAGGCAGCTAGTCAACATCACCCACTGCGAACTCTTGGGCTACTCTTCTACCCACAAATAGTGGGGCTGACCGTCACATTATGACGCCCCCCTGGCTGAAATGGCGAGCATGTTCGGTGACGAGAATTCGAACCCTCAGATTGCAAGTCGAGTGCCCTAGCCCTCAGGCTGTGCCAGACCCAAGCCTTTCTGTGCAGACTTTCTTCAAAAGTACACCTTGATTTGTTTGTTTAAAGTTAAGCACAAAGCTATACAATGGGCTATCTGTGCTCTGCCCACCACGGGTATCGAAACCCGGTTTCTAGCATTGTAAGTCCGCAGACATCCCGCTGTGCAGTACACCTTGAACCAACTAGTGTTGCTGAACAATTCCTGGAAATAACATCTCTCCTAAACACTTCTGGCTTGTTCCTGGAAATAACATCTCTCCCAAACACTTCTGGCTTGTTCAAAGAACATCCTTCCCAACATTTCCTGGCTTTTTCAATGTTGCCTAGCAATTTCTTGAAAGTACATCCTTCGCTTTGTTCACTTGAAAATAAATTCTATGAGCATAAAAGTTATTCAATCGAGTAAGAGTTAGCATTCACAACAAATGATGCCATTACGTCACTTCAAGTACGTGTTTTGTTGATATTAATCATAACTTGGCAAAACAGGGTGAAACCTTCAACGTTCTTACGCTATTTTTCTCCATATTAGTTTTGAAGTGAATCAAGAAAGTGGTTTTATAGTGACAAATAGACGGAAATATCAGTTTCAATAAAATAAAGTTTCATTGAATGCATTGAATTTAACATGCGCAATACCATAAAGTGAACAGTAGGTCTTATACTTAGGAAAGGTGAAAAAAAAAACATTATAAAGATATGTTCACATTCAAATTTATTATACTCCTAGCATGACTTATTTACTGTGATTGGCTAAGAGCGCATCACATGGTATGAAACATTTGGATTGTCACCTTGAAAACAAACCGCACGAATGTTGTCCTGTTGTCAAGGCTGTTGTCATGGGCCAGAACATTGCAGACGATAATGTTTTTCAACATAGTGAAATGGCACCGATTCATTTTACCCTAATTACAAACAATTAGCTCAAGACCCTAAAATCAATGTGGACATACCATATGACGTACCATTTCAGTTACTCAAAGAATGAAAAGCTAGGCTAAATATACTATGTGATAGCGTTAATTAATCAGATTTTAGTAAAACTGATGTAAACTGAAGAGGAGGAACAGAATTATTGACTGAAGATTTCGGAGAACAGATAACTTGTTGCCTTCAAAACCTGTCAATAATTGTTTAATGATCTATTAGTAGTTGTATTGAGAAGTGGGTTAAACTTGCAAGAAAGTAGGAATTTACCTTACGTAAATTTACCTTACACACTTTACTAAAAAAAACAAGAGGTAATTCTCAATAGCCGCGGCACTTGAAATTCTTTTAGGCAGGATTGGAGTATATTAATCTACGAGACCTTGGGCATGGTCAAATACACTAATCGAAATTATTTGACCTCCTGAGCCCAAAACTGTAATTAGATTTAAAATCGTTTAGGAGATGACGGAGCTATGAGCTAAAAGTTTGTACTTAAAAAAACAACAACAAAAACAAAAAACTCAGAGCCATTTTATGAGCCGCTATGCCGCGGCTAAAAATCTTTTCCATTCAGGATGATGAATGATGGTGTTAATGATGCGTTTCCACAAAATGTAGCTTGTAAAACAAATACAAAATAGCAACTGCAAGTAACATTGGTTTCGTTCTCGTTGATTATCTGTCTTATGATGACAAATACTGGAGAATACAACAGTAAACAAGCTAAATCGCCCTCCTACAGCCATCAAAATGAGAGTTATCTTGAAATATGCATGAAAGTTTGCGGTTTAGTAACTGCAACTGAGAAACTCAGATGGACAGCCCTTCTGCATCCAAACCTAATCTAGCTCCTTGTTACTTTAATATTCTTCTTTTTTTCTTTTGTCTTCTCAAAGGCTGTTTCTTAGTTTGCATTTTTCTAATATTTGCCCAAAGCTACTCAAAGGGTGTCTGTGTTAGCCGTTCTTGACTAAGTTTGAATTGATAGACTAGAAGGGAGGCAGCTGACCAACAGCACCCATTGCCAACTCTTGGGCCATTCCTGACTGACCAATCAGTTGGATAATACTGGAATTTGACGGTCAGCCTTATAACGCACATACTGCTCCAAGGTGCGGTGGTCCATTTTTTAATATTTTGTTTATGACGATGAGACATGAACATGAATCCGCAGATACACAGTTCGTTGTGCTAACCACTAGGCCATTGTCAATATGTGTGGATAACATTTTCAGGAACTGATAATCTTAAAGCAGCTGTTAAAGTGTAAGCATCACATTTACATAAAAATTAAAAGGTAAACACATTATTCCACGATTTAACGTGGTGATAACTGTACATACTTTCAGCTATAAGCAGAATCTATGTAATATTGGAAGGTTAGACATTAAAACGATACAGCTTTTACAGACTTAATGCCGAAATAAAAGAGAAAGGGAAATTGATTTATTTATGCGAAATTTCGAGCAACTGCTGACGACTTACAGGATATTACTCAGTGACAATGTACTACTTTCTAAGCCTAACAAAGAGAAGTTACTGGAAACTTCTCAGATAAATCAATTTTTCTTTTAGTTGGACTTTTTGTCATTACAACCTCTTATGTGAATGCGATAACTATACATATGGAATACTCGTGAGTCATTCATTTGAAGTAAATCACCATATATTTTCTATAGCCATTGAGCAAGAAAAATATCATAAGTGTTACACAAAAAGAAAACTTGTGCTTAATTGCTATTTCAAATCAGGTAGATTGTCCATTTGATATTATAATTTACAGTGTAATTAGTGCAACAATTCCGTGAAAGAAATATCTAACATACCCAACATTAAACTGTTGTGGTACAAACACATATTGCTATGCTTTCGTTTCATCATTTGTTTATTAATACCTGATTTTGAATGTGAAAACACACGTCGACAAATAAGATTTTTTTAAATACAACATAAATTACAGAACAACTTACTTTATTACACTGGTTCTCAATTTAAAGTGCTCAGTATCGCTGAAAATGAGGCGCGGTATATCTTGTCACCCGGGGTGACTAAAATTTCAAGGTGGTTGGTGTCGGGGTGAAAAAATATGGATAATTTATTAGCCTACATATTTTTCATGTTTACACTGATGGAAGGAAAAATGTGAGTACAAACAAATACAAGATAGTAATGAATAACTTTATTATATTTTTGTATTAAGTAGTTTATTTGGACTATCACCACGTTATTTTAGTTTTATTAACGCACAAGCTTTCGGCTCAATTACCTAAGCCTTCTAGTTCTACAGGTGCGAGATGTTTAGTAATAAGTTTATTGTTGTAAAGAAATATGGGACACATTCTTTTTTTGTTGTTGCTTGGCAACTTGTAATTCGAAATGTTCCGTTAGGTCCTGTTGTTTACTAATGGTTTCGTACCTGTAGAAGGCTTAGGTAAATGATTGTCCAAATAAATTACTTAATACAAGTATGAGTACTCACGTTAAAAGCCTGAAAAGTTATATATTAATTTTTTTAGAAACTGAGTGTAAACTGTAAGTAAAAATAGTTATATACCAGAAGAGCTCAGGATAGATAAAGGTTGAGAATCGATGCCATTACTTTAAACCTTAACGCCAACAGCACTTGAATTGCATGTACTATTTCACATTAGCGTTCAAAGTCTGACTTATTTCATAACTCGTAATTAATGCTTAGCGTAAAGAGTGTAACTGTTGAATTGGTCAATGAAGCATGTACTTTAAAGTGCAAAAACATATTTTCAATAAATATTTACTTACCAGACAATTCCTTGAGCTCCAGATCCGATAGGCCTAAGGTTCTGGTAACGTTTAAGAATCGTAAACTTGGCATCGCCCACTTCGACAGTATAGAACATAGAAGAATTTTTGCTGGTCATGGTTTTGGAGTTATTAAATTCTTCAGGGCACAATCGCATTAGGATTTCCACAACGGACTGGGGAGACAGAACTCACAAAACTGAATTACAGGAAAAGTTGTTGAAAACTATAACTTTAGCTTCAAGGACATCCCTAGCTGAACCTACAATGCACAGAGAGTAAATAATTGATAAGCACAATGTAAAAACTTATCTGTAGGCTAAAATTACAGAAAAGCATTGACAAAGAATTACATAACAAAAGCACATACTGCCCCAAGGTGACGTGGTCCATTTTTTTTATATTTTGTTTATGACGATGTGACATGAACATGAATCCGCAGATACACAGTTCGTCGTGCTAACCACTAGGCCATAGTCAATATGTGTAGATAACATTTTCGGGAACTGATAATCTTAAAGCAGCTGTTAAAAGTATACAATACGTTAACAAAACGATAGACAAAATGTACTGTACTTAAATAAGTTTTAGAAGTGATGGCTGGTTTATTGCCTACACTTGCAACTATATTTTGCCAATATAGATGCAAAAGAAAAATAAAACTTTTTTCTTAACACTCTTCCTTTACTAAGGTTTCATAATTAGTACTTTTAAATTAGGTTTTACATTTAATTTTTGTTTTAAAATGCCGTTTTTGAAAACATTCAACACCAAGAATGTCACTATAGACAAAATAAGCTGTCACATTTATTATTATATACAACACGCTTTTGTTCCCTGTGTAACCGAATTCTGATACAACCTTACGAAGATGTAACGCTGAAATTCGCATTCTTTGCGTATACTTGAGCAAAATGTAACAAATAAAAGTATTCATAAATAAGAAGTTTATATTTCTGTTTATTCTCATAATGTAACAAATTTAATCGCATCTTTTCTGATGGTGATCAGCAAATGCATGTACATAAACTATATTTGACCGTTCCAGTGTAAATGTACAACATTAAATTGACGATTACTTTTTAAGTGTTCTTAAAACAACATGTGAATTGATACAGTGTGTAAATTTACTATAAACAAATTACAAATTGATATTCTTTATGTTACAGTTTTAAAGTGAAAATAGACTTTGGGTAACATATAAATGAATAGTCCTAAAACTCAACTATGTATACTTCAATCCAGGCTGACAATCAAGACTCGAAGTAAAACTAACACATTTACTGACATCACCATTAGAATTCAATGAAGTTATAGCGATTATAAATAATTTCTTACTATTTCGAATTTCAAAGTACATGTGAAGTAAAATTTTTTTAACTGATCAATACCTATATTTTCTAAATATTAATTTTATTTTCTCAAGTTTTTTTGTTGTTGTTGTTGTCAAATCCTTTAATCGAGAGTAGAGTACTAAAGCGCCCAAATTACGAAAACATTTACCAAGTATGCTAGGACAAAATGTAAGGAGTCTTTAACAGAATCCCTGACTAATACTACCAAACAGGAAATTTCATCACCTTCGAGGGATAAGCTGATGCTGACTGTGTTTGACAAGTTAATGAAGTTACCCAAAGGGTTTTCAAGGAGAACCGCTGGAACGCATAAAACTAAATATTTTCGCCTTATCTTTTCAGAAGCACAAAGAAGTAGATGTTAACACCAAACTTCGTGAATTGACGTCAAGAAGTACGACAATTCCAGTCAAGTTGGGTTTATTTTATTTAATCATATTTACCACTAGGCAAAAAAATAAATATGTATGGCTAAATACTGTAGCTAAATATCCTAATGATATCCTAAAATTACAGAAAAGCACTGGCAAAGAATTACATAACAAAAGCACTCCGTTCCGAAACATAAGTGATTCATCGTATCATTGAACCTTATGATATCACCCTACTTAAGTTGATCGATTACACCACAAACAAACAAACTGACTGTACAATGGTTATCTTTGTTAAGTTAGTGAGTCAGTAATACGTGATACGTATATACCAATATGTCTTGGTCACAATATTTTATTCGAAATTATTAGTCACGGATAACAAGCACATCTACGTTTTCATCTTTCAAATCAAAATGTAAAAATTGTTGTATCATGATACATAAATATATCGACATGGATATTTAATACAGGTTGATTTACAAATTAGCTTGACAAACACAAACACAAAATTTGAAATATAGTAAGCGCCCAGATGGATGGAAACCAGTTGTCAGCACATGCAGTGTATTTGCCTACCACTCTTAACCCTTCAACTGCAGTTGACATCATTTTGCGCGCCACATTTTGAATGGCCCGCCGCATGGGGTGGTAGGTAGACTTACACAAGCCGCAAACGAAGGGTTAATCGAAAAGCGAAACTAACCGCCATAATCATAAAGTCTCACACAATGTTTGTTTGTTGTTGAGCACAAAGCTACACAATAGGCTATCTGTGCTGTTACCACTTTTCAATAAGAGTAGGCCCAAAAGTTGGCGGTGAGTGCTGGTGACTAGCTACATTCCCTCCAATCTGTTAGTTCAAAATTATGGACGACTAGCACAGACAGCCGTTGTTAGGTTTGCGCGAATGTTCCAAAACAAACAAACCAACCCTCTTGATAATTTTATAATATTTGTTTAATAATTACTCTTAAAGGCTACAATATTCATATCAATAAAATTCTAAATATTGTACAGGAGAAAAAAGTCTAAATCCTCTTAATTACGAAATTCTTATTATGAAAGATCTTTAAAATGAACGTCTTTAAGTTGATAAAATGATACAATACAAAATTTGTCAGGAAAGAAAAGTGACAGACTGTTATTCTGAAATAAATTAATATAACGTATACATGTGTGATTATCTTTTTAATAATTGTTATAAAAGCATGCGATTCTCTTTTTTTAAATAATTCTCTTTATTATATAAGTTATATATGCAGTATACTTTAAAGTTACAGTTTAAACGCCGACAGCCGGTGAAATATAGGAAAAACAACTGGCCTAAACATTGTTATGAAAGCACGTTAACCGCAGTTATTTTCCCCTACATTCGTCTTATTTTGCCCATTTGTCTGCTGTCGGTGTTTCGACTGCAACTTTTAATATTATAATCTGTATTAGATTAGAACGTGATAAATGTTCTTATTGGTCAGTAAACCGACAGTATTATGTTTGTGTGTTAGGCACTTAATTACTTTTAATGAAACAAATAAGAAAATTAGTATGTATCGAGAAAATCATTCTGACAGTCTTTTTGATCTCCTAAGGCTACCCAGCCAGCTGCACGATAGACAGCGCCTCACTATTCTTGGGAGAGATAAGCACTTCTTACTATTTAAGAACATCCACAAAAACACTGTAGAATGACTCGCATATAAGTTCTTATGATTACAAAGTCGCTGTGGTCACTTAACCGCCTCTAAAATAAAAAAGTTTGTTTGTTTGTTTGAAGTTAAGCACAAAACTACACAATGGGCTATCTGTGCTCTGCCCACCACGGGTATCAAAACCCGGTTTCTAGCGTTGTAAGTCCGCAGACATACCGCTGTGCCACTGGGGGGCAAAATAAAAAAGACTAGCACATTGGTTCTCCGGTTCTTCTGAGTGACGAGTACAGTTAATTAAAAGTGAAATAAACAAATAATTTGATGTCAATATAAATCATAAACTTAATTCTGATGTTCAATGACTTAAATACAATTGACAAAAATTACAGTTCACCAATGAAATTACTGTTTTGATCACCACTATCTGTTGTACCCTAGCTGGCCTGACGATCCCTGGAATTAGGCCTCGTCGGCACTGGATATTGCAGATATAGTGTGGTTAATGTATCATTTCATTCTTCTTTACTTTGATAAATTCTTATAAGTAAATTGTTTGACAGAGTACAACTTTTAATTTAGTATTTACGATGGGTCGAGTATTAAATTGAGATCTATAAGTTGTTGTTTGTTTTAAAGCAAAGCCACAGCAATCTGCTGTGTCCACCGTTGCAAGTCCGTAAACTTATTGCTTTCCTGTCGGGCGCCAAAGAGATCTATAAGATCTTCGCCCTTTCACCCCAAAGAGGTCGTCAGAACCTAAGGCTTAAGATTTTCAACCACAGCCCAAACTGACCAATTCCTTTTATCACACATGTAGTTTGAGATTTTTAATAAACTGTACACACGCTTATCACATATCCTTGTTTAAAGACGAACATTTCAAATTTTATTATGACTACTACTAATAATTATTCCTGAAAAATATGAGATATTGTTTATATTTTGTAATCGCGCAATTTGGAGCCGAAAAATTAAATTCTATCAAGCTATGAAGATGGACCCCTTTTTCATAAGCAATGCCACAAAAGATTGTACAATTCATTCAACCTATCACATTTGATATAATTCGTTTCTTTCGTCTGCGTTGTATTGTAACGGATTTATATCAATGAAACATTATTCCTATTTTGAAAAAAAGATTGCTTGATTTTTTTAAATCTCTGGTTAAAGCTTAAATTGTAAAGAAGAGTGACGCTTTCATCTATAAGTAAGTATTCCAGGGCCCGGCATGGCCAGGTGGATAAGGCGCTCGACTCGCAATCTGAGGGTCGCGGGTTCGAATCCCCGT